AGCCACCACAATAAAGACCATGCCATTGCAATCTCTTTTTTGTAGTCTGCATAAATTAACACCAGAAAACAATGAAAACTTCATAAAATGGCTACAAGAAGCTTGGAGGGTAGAGTAGAGTGGGGGCAAGGGGGGAGTAGCTGTCAACAGACAAGTACTGGTACCTCATCCTGTGGATGTGGTCACTTTGTACAATTTTCAAACTAAGTAAATTTCACAAGAAAGATCACTGAGCAATAGAGGAACAATAATTCTCCAGCTAATCTCCAGAATTCTCTGACTTAATTTTAATGGCCTCAAATGTATTTTTATTCAGAGGTGGACAATATTTTCCAGTCACTTTACACAACTATTCTGCATCTTCATTTCTTTATGAAAACCCTACTCCTTGCAGTTGTGGTACATTTAGGTTTTTGAGTGTACACAGCAACTTAGAGGGATAATGGTTTGTTCTCTTTTGTATCATCAGGAACCATGTAAGCTCTCTCCCCAAACAATGGCCATTCCACAGATCAGCATCACTGAGCAACATACCAGATCAACCACACATTAACTACTTGTCACTGTCAGTCAACAACACTCTCATTGAAGTTTTCAGTGAAGCAGACTTCAAATACCTTACTGATGATCAATGGCAGGAACTTCAACAAATCAACAGCCACAGCTGCCACAGAGCTGTTACTTTTGAAAATGATATTTCTTGATCTGCCACGGACTATTTAGCGGAATAACTTATCCATGGCTACCCAGCAATACCGAGGAAAGTACTGCTTAGCTCCACAACATCCTGTGATTTCTGATGGTCATCATGGACCAACTATGGCCAGGAAATCAAGATAGATTTAGATAAAGATAGATAGATAGATAGTTTATTAAAAATGCATCACAGCCAAAGGCTGAATTACACAATTATTTACAAAAACTTTACAATACTTGAAAATTACAAATGAATCCTAGAAAATAAATCAAAAACTGATTTTTAAGATAATAATCAAAAAATCTATTTAACATATCCATCTAGAAATATGTTAAAATATAAAGGATGAATATAGGTGGAATAAAACTACAGCTCGAACTGTTTCAACATTGCATATATAAAAGTATTACTTGTTCTGTTTGTGCAAAGGTTTGGCATATTAAAGAAGTGCTGTCCTCTTAGGTTATAGTGTGAGTTGTCATGGTCTGGTGGAAGAAGCACCTTCAATTTATGGTTTGGATCGCAGACAATGTTATCAAAAAGCCTACTACATATTATGTACTTATACTCCAAAATGGGTGTTAACCACCTCTAGTGCCGAGTTGCACTTTCCTGAGGTTATTATTGATATTGCTCTTTTCTCAAGCCGTACCAGCTCTTTCTAGAAGTACTGGGGGAGACCGTTAAAAAAGACAGGTGCTGCATAATCAATAACATATCTCATGCACGATACATAGAACAGTGCTAGATCTTGTTCGGAACTCCCACTCTCTTTAACTGAGTTAGGAAATAGAGTCTCTTGCTAGCCTTTTTGGTTATCTCAGTTACATGGTCATTCCATGTTAGATCGTTTGCTATAAATTGTAAGGCCTAGTAGCTTTGTGCTAGTGACTAACTCTACCTCCTTTCCTTCTATGATGACGGGATCAAAGACTCTTTGTTCTTTAGCAAAGGAGACCCTGAGTTCTTTGCACTTATTGGCATTTAGTTGGACCCTGTTCTCCCGAGACCACTCAATTACTCTGTTAGCTATTGCTTGCACATGACTTTTTCTCTGCCCTTTATCAAAAGGAATATCAAAAGGAACTTCTGTTTGTGATCATGGACTCTTCAACTCTGAAACATCCCAAGGGTGTAAAGCACCACCTCCTACTCCAGAGCCTGCCTCCAAAGACGAAATTACTTCAAATATTTTAGACATTACCAGGCTGAAAAAGCTCCCTAAGTTAATTTGAAATGCAAGATACTGACAGAAGTGGTTCTGAATCTTAACACAGAGACCTTTAATTCTAAAGGAATAATTATTTCTATAAGAGTGGGATTGACCTTAAGTTATGGGTGGAGAGGATTGCTGTGAGTGGAGGTTGGAGGTCAGGATTAGTTTGTGAAATTGTTAATTCAGCTAGTTGGGGAAATTTTGCCTTTTTCAGGGAAAAGTCCAGGAATTTCAAAATCCTATGACTGTGGCAACCATAACTAGGATATCCCCTTCCAAACTGAAAGAAGTTAGAATGTGGAGACATGGTTTTTTTCTTGGAATGTTGCTCATATAGTAGAATCTAGCAATTTGTGAAACAATTATGATTCTCTGAATGACATTAAGACATCCTTTGTAACTGTGAACTTACCATCTTAAAATATGAATACAAGTGATATAAACCAAATCTAAGGTCAACACCCTAAAATTTATTTATTCTACTATACATAAATCCTGCCTGTAAAAATTTCACATAGACCTGCCCAAGGAAAATATTTTATTGACAATACCGCTTTTAAGCTACAAAAAATAAACTTAATCTAAGTCAAATATTATAAGGTTGTCATTTAAGGTCTCTTCAAAAGAGTTAAGACTTAATCGTTCTCTGACTTGACTCAAAATTGGCCACAGTATTTAAAAGCTTCTGTGCCAGCTCTCTGACTCCATCGTGTGATGTTTTTAAGACCCTCTGAACAATATCCAGGATTTCTCCATCAAAAAGAAGAGGGGCATAATGTTTTTCTGAAAAACAAGATTAGAATTGTGATGAGTTGATTGTCTGTTGATATTACTCTTGGGCCAAGTTTTATAAGGGGTGGACAACACTATCCAACAGCCAGGATAAATCGCTATCCAGGGGAATAAATGATAGCAAAACATACTGCGTTATCCACCAGATAGAGATTTCTCCAGTGGATAGAGTTATCCAAACTTCGAACTATCAGGGCCTGATTACCATGAGTAAGTCATCTTAAAAATGGGACTACGAAAAATTTTGTCAAAAGTTTTCAAGTTTGTCTAATGCAAAACATGTAACCAAAGGTGCTAACAAGGAGAATTGGTATAAAAATCAAGAGCTTCTTTTGTTGTTGATCATTTCCTTTCTTCTCATGACCTTTACATGTGACTCAGGGGTGATATTGTAAGGAGAAACTGCAGGTCAAAGGGTTAAACTTTTCCATGTTCATATGAGAAAGGTGTGCAAGTTTGTGTCCCAAATTCAATAAATTGTGACAGTTGTCTACCATAAACATAACAAGACCAGCTTCTAAATCTTGAGTGTACATCAGGCAAGAATTTTAGGATGATCATTGCTAAACTTGCTTGCTGTGTATTACAAGAGCAATTGAGCAAACTTCAAGGTACCCTGCCTGGCCTGCATAGAAAGGAATGAATGGGAAGGGGGATATGGATTTATGTCAGCACAATCAATGGGGTCATATATAGAGGTTTCCATCTAAGTTCAGCCTCACAAAAATCAAATGCATCATCCTGTCTGAGTTTTTTATTAGCCAGGCCACTGTTCAAACAATTTGGGATCAAGAGGTACTTACCATTTCTGGTGCAGACATGTACAATTGCCCACAAAGCCCACATCTGTACAGCAGGCAAAGCACACTGGAGGAGTGTGACAAAAGGTTTGAATGACCTAACAGAAAATAGGAAAATGATAACAATTTTAATATTAACTGTACACAAACCTCAACAATGTTTAAACTAATGCCACAGAGGAGACTGTAAGAATCGATCTTTGATCTGTTAATAATATACTTAAAAAAATTATGTTCATCTAATTGGCTGAAAACAGGTGCATTTTTCATGCAACATGGGTGCAAATTAAAAATAGTGTGTGCACTGTCAAAATTCACCCAACTGGACCTTCTGAAATAATTTTTTATTGTCAATTATTAATAGGTAACAACATGATTTCTCATGCAGTGTGGTTGAAATGAGCACTTGTAAATTTTTTGAAGACTACAAACTGCACTTGTCTTATGGCTCCTGCAATTTTTTTTCTCTTTGTACTATTTGTGAAAAGATAAAAACAACCAGTATTTGATAAAGATAACCTTGCAAAAAAATATTCAAACAAACCTATAGGCAACAAGCTGGTCTGCAGGAAATTCCCAACTTTTCACAGCTTGTTCCTGATAAAGAGAAAAACACAACATTTTTACCTGAACACTGTTGCTGTCACAAGAGTGATTATCATCTAATTTCTCCTTACAATGTTGCCTCCCAATCACACATTATTCACAAGAATAAAGGAATTAATCGGCAATTAAAGAGGCTCCTGATTGTTAAACAAGTTCTCCTTTCAACAAGAAATTTATGGAAATTTTACACCCAGAGGTGTTGTTTTTAGATCATGTCCCCAACCCCATCTCCCTAATTTTTCTTCAATTGCTCCATTCTAGCACCTCCTCAAAACAAGCAAAATGTGCAAAATTTCCTCACTTTTCTAGAAATGACATTTAGATATACATGTACATGAGACTGACATAATATTTTCTTATTTTCAAAGTAACTGTCAATATAAAATTTGCTCAGTCTTGCCTTATATATTAAAAAAAAAACCATGAAAAAATGTCAGCTCAAAGATAAATTTGTTATAGAAGGGTATTCAAAGCCTCACTGTTCACTTGAAACCCTGCCTCAATGTAAGACTGCCAAACGAATACCTACCAACCGCTGAAGCATATACTGTTTGCTGTGTGACAGATGCTCTCTATCATCAGACCACTCCAGCATAACATTGGACAGAATTCCACCACAAAAATAGGACAACTGGAGAAGCCCGTCATCCAGGAGAGACCTGCACATGATGAGAATTGAACTTCACTTAAGATCCATGGTTTAAGACTGATTCTTTTTTTCATCAACTAATAATAATTATCAGTTGTTGGATTAATAACAAACGCATTTTCATTTGTTTCCTCAAAGAACAATTTTGATTAAATGCTCTGAACTAATACTAATACTACACAAGTTAAAACATTTCTTGATTAAAATGTTAACATATCAGCACTACTTCAACAGCCTTGTACTCTTAAAAACACTCATTAGCTTAATTTTTAACTAGTTTCATGTGCCTTTCAGGCTCACTTGTTGAATTTGATCTTGTTGCAAAGCTTTGAAAAATCACTTGACCTGTAGATTCAGAGCCACCTTAATTTGTTGCAAACAAACTGAATATTCCTGTTACTTATTTTCAAACACCATTTGTCAACCAAAAAAAAAACATTACCCTAAAAGATTCATGAATTCATCTGTGATGAGTAAATGCCTCAGACTTGGAATCTCAGCTATATTGTTCTAAAACACAAAATAATGAGGATCAAATGAATTTAATCTCAATGCTTTGGACCATTGAATGATTGCTGTTTGTAGTTGTTAAGTAATTTTCAGCAATCTGGGAAAAAAAACCCCAAAAGCACATTTGATTCTCAATCTTTAACTCTTTCACTCCCAAGATCTCATTAGTAATTCTCCTTACTGTCTACCATACAGTTCTTGTGATGTTAGTTTGGAGAATTTGGTATTGGATCAACTAATAATCCTCTAATTAAGATTTTTCTTTATTCTCATCACTTGTCTGCTTGATATTATATTGATATATTGTAAGGAGAAATTCTGTTTTGGTCACTTATGGGAGTTAAAGGGTTAAGTGAGGCCTCATAACTGTTATGAAAAATTGTGGCACTACTCTAAGCTGCAACCACTTTGGAAGCCATGGCAAGTGGCAAACGTTTTTGGCAAAGGGTCAAAGGTTGTCAAATTGGCAGCCTGAGTTCAGTAAGTGGTCATGCAGAAAGTTGTGGGGTTTTCGTTCCTTGTTGCTTAGGTTCCTAAGTTAAGTGAGATTGACTAAAGCATGAAATGTTATTAAATGCTCTGTTATATTTCCTTTTCTTTCCTGGTAAATGATACCAAGCTTCCTATTTCTATTTGTTTTTTAACTGTCCATCACAGAAGACTCATCATAAATCTTATCTCTGGCAGCCATACACACCATGACTTTCAGGATCATTGCTGCCCTAAGAGCACAATTGTTTATCCTTGTAGTAGACCTGTGGTTAAAAGGCTTGATTCTCTTTCAATTAATAAGCTGTTCTTATTGGCTTACCAGTGTTCCGAGAAGCTTCTTTTTGATAATGACATTTTTCTCTTGGCTTCCTTCTCTGAACACCTAGAGTTGTTTATGTAATACATCATATTAAACATAAAATTGTTAACTGTAACTGCACCATTAAGAAATAAGACCGTACTGTACTATATTTGGAAACACTATACATATGGTTAGCACCTGGTTAAGTGTGTGGCAGCAGTGTTGATAAAATCTGGATTGGACCAGATTGGATAACGGATTACTGAAACAAACTTCCAGTAGGGTCTATGCTCCATTAGATCAAGCAGACTTTATTTTGGCTTATCAAGAAACATTTCTAATTTCAATTTACCTATTTTGGGTCTTTTACTCTTATTTTTTAAGTATCATTATTTTATGAATGATTTTATTTTTTACTTTTCAAAACTTTTTTTTTTTGATCCATGATCCAATCTGTGGCCCAATCTGGTCTGATCCCAAGTTTATCGACGCCAGGTGTGTGGGAGCTCTGAAACCTCAAACATATTTACTTAACAACACTGTAACTTTGTTGTGCTGTTGCTATTTGACAGCATGTAGTTGACAATGTTGAGGTATTCTTCAAAAAATCTGTTCAATGATGTTTCAGAGGAAAGAAAGAGATAAATGGTCAAGGAGCTGATCATGACCCCTATGAAAAATTACATACAATTTGGCATCGGTCATTGTGACTAATAATTATTGTAATCAAAAGTAACTGTTAGTATTGTTTTTCTCATGATGATAAAGTCAAATGCTACTGATTTGGATCATGGCACATTTCACAAGCTTACACAGTCTGATGGTGCTCTTAAGATGAGGAAGTTAAAATGGCAATACTTTACATTGAGAGAGAAACAAATATTTCAAATAAACTTGAGTGCTTAAAAATCCCAACTGGCAGGAGGCAGACCAGTTGGCTATTTACACAGCACAGCCGAGGAGTTGAACTCGAGGCGACAAAGAACAAATCCGATGAATGGCGGGGTGGAGGACCTGAACCAGGGACCAGCAGATTACATGTCCAGCACCCTAAACCACTCTACCACCCCTAGCAGTTTTTAGTTTATTTGACAGTTTCTGGAAAAGATTGTTCTTCAATTTATACCTTCAGGCCTTGTGCTATCAATTGTAAACCTCCTTTCTCAACAAACAGAAAACAAGTGCTAGGTGTCTCATCTGTGAATGATAGAAACAAACTCATTTTTCTTTATCTGGACAGCTCATGGAAGTAGCCTTACTCCTGGTTTGTGAACTCTGGCAAGGGTCATTGTATTGTATTCTAGGGAAAGACATTAAACTTGTGTAATGACTCAGGAAAACTATCAGGAAAAGCTAAAAAAATGACTGGAGAAGGTGGAGTGGTTGGGTAACTTGCAACAAGCTAACATCCTATCTACTTAGACAAGCATTTCTCCAAATCCCTCCTTGGTTCAAAACTGAATTTAGTGCAAATGAAGGGGGTAAGTTTCTTATTAAAAGAAAATGTGGGAATTTACTATTTCAACTGAGTTGTTAACCTAAATTGGCCACTGTAAAGAGTTTCAAAGCTGACATTTCAAGCATTAGCCCTTTGTCAGAGTGAATGACGAAATACTTTCATTTCCAAATTACCCTGGGTTCAGCTTTACCAGCTATGTGCATCATTCAAAGACCTGAACAGGTTGTGTCATTCCTGCCATACCACATTGAAAGTCATTTAAATGCAAACTTTTTTGCACTGTAAATCATTCTCTTTCCAAAGTACAATTTTGCAAACTTATTAAAACATTGCATACCAGTTAAGTTCCATAGAACAGTAAGTGCCAAACTCAATGTGAAATCCTCCTAAAAAAAAAAAGGACCCCATCGAACAATTAAAAATATCATTAATAATTATTGATGATGAAAAAATTGAGAACAGTTTCTTAAAGGGACATGTTAATAAAAATCTTGGGTAAAATTATCACAAGCCAACTGAGATAAAGAAAACAAGGAAATATGACATGTTACAAAGGGCAGTAGGTAGAAATTAATTATAATGAAAGCAGCTAATTTGAATTCACAGTCAGAGTAACCTTAACCTTAGTCTTTGCTTTCCCATGTTTTCTATTTGTAGAAAATGCACTAGCTTTGTATTATATTCCTTTACTGTAATGATCAAATCTTTTATACTGAAAAAAAATTCTGCTATTGGACCTGAAAGGCAACCCACAATATCATGCAGCTATAAACTGTAAAAGTAATGACCCAGCTTTAACTCCCAAGATCAGATTGTTAATTCTCCCCTCTAGCTGCTACACATTTCCTTGTAAACAAGTTATAAGAATTTAATGTTAGATCAAGGTGACAGCTTATACCTGATATTAGTTTGAGTATTCTTATTACCCTACTAGCTGGATAGTGTATGGATATTGTAGGGAGAAGTTACATTTTAATCACTTTTGGGAGTTGAAGGGTTAATCTGCTTGCTCCATTAAAAAAAAATAACATTTGCAGAATGAAATCATTTCATTGGTGTTGTAAATTCTATCTGATCCATACCTGACTTGCACTGATCTTTTCTTGAACAATATTAAACATGGTCTATAATTTTAAAATGAATTGATCAGTAAAGATACAGTTTATATTTTGGGAGAACATTTAATCAATCACAACTTGAGATATTTAAATAACTGGTTACCATGGCAAAAAGATGCTGCTTTGATTGATAATAATTGTTAATTAAATGAATTTAAAATTGATTTAGGTAAATTTATAGATTAATATTTTATGTCTCTTACCATAATGTTTTTCTCCGAGCCAAGAGCAAGTGTTTCTTGTGTGGTCAGCTGCACAGGTGTGGAATTAGCAAAGCCTTTAATTAGTAACCCAGATACTTACTTCAAATTAGAGCAGGGAATCTGAACAGTGAACAGATATAATGCCAATAGTATGACATTTGTCCAAAAACTGACTTGAAGTATTAACATTCAAAGCTGATCCAGGAGTTTTAATACAGACCCAATTAATAGTTTTAGTAATTAAAATAATTTTCCAGAAATGCATGTCTTCACAGACTCAAAGAACTGATTGTTTTTATTCTCTCCTCTAGCTGCTTCCCATTTCCTTGTAAATTAGATACAGGAATTTGGTGTAAGATCAAGATAAAGAACTTCTACCTGATAAGTTTGAGTATTCTCATTACCTGTTAGCTGGACAATGCATGGATATTATAGGGAGAAGTTATATGATAATCACCTCGGGGAATTAAAGAGTTAACTAGTTCAGTGAACAAGGTAACTTATCAATTAAAAGAGGGAGAGAGAGAGACAGAGGGGAAGGAAGTGCATATTCAAGCAGGAGAAGCCCTCATTATTCAAAATGTTTACAGGCACTAATTGAAAGGAAGAGCTTTTTCAAGGGGAAATGCTACTGAAAGTTTGGATCAATGTCAGTACCTTAGCAACTGTGCACCTACCCCTCCCCCCCCATAACCCAACAACAGTCAACTGATGACAAGCTTAAGTTAATGTTGGATTAGGGGAGGGGTACCGTAATTTCCGGTCGTTTACCCGCGGGTAATCTGTTGATTTTGCATTAAACGCGCGCCACTGCGGGTAATAGGGAGGTGCGGGTTATGTGACAATTTTAAAATCCAGTGGTAGTTGAATTGAAAAAAAATATCACCAACATGCGTTTCCACCTCTCAAGTAAATTTTATTGTGTTAATAGTGCCGCAAAGCGGCACGAAAACACGATGCCGACTCGAGTTTATTTCACGCATAATTAGTTGCGCGACCAACAAATTATTATCGGCACGCGTGAAAACAAAACCTTGATGTTGACAAAAATTATCCATAGATATCCGGCGCATCAGTAACAAATTTCCTTTTAACGCTAGCTTGAGCTAAAGAGAATTTTCCCGTTTCAAGGGACTTGTTAGGCCCAATAGAACCGGAGATATCGATTTTTTTTTAATTCAAGTTTTAATACTCACCCAGCTTTTTTTCAACAAATCAACATGGCGCTGAACGATCGCTCGCACAAAATGTGGCCACAAATTCGCATTCTGTCAAGTATGAAACGTTGAGATTTGGGCATGGGCCGCTAGTGTTTTTACTGCATAATCTTATCAATAAAGTACATGCTAATATTGACACAGAATTGTGCACGCGTCTGAATTTCTTTGACCTTTAAACTCGACAAAGACGCTTTCAAGTTTTCGAAAGTTGGATCAGACAACTTTTAAAAGACTGAAATGTATCACCTTAATGTCACGTTTTCGCCACCAAAAAGTTGAATAACAACGTGCGGGTTATCCACCAGTGCGGGTAATCTGTTGACTTTTTTTTTCGCCGTATGCAATAATCGGCCGGTGCGGGTAAACGACCGGAAATTACGGTAGGTGTGCAGATGTTCAGATACTGATAATGATTTGTAAATTTTATGGTATTTTTTCATTTTTTTTAAACATTTGAGTGTCCAATTGAGGAAAGAATCTAAGTAAGAGGATTTATGAGTAAGGTGATACCTTAGCGGACAGAATTGCACATAGCTTTGTAGCAAGCTGAGAAATATCCTGGTCACCAGGGAAGTCGCACAGAGAGTCCATAGCTAAGAGTGATGCTTCAAAATAGTTGAATGTCTGCAACACAAAAATCAAGTTATTGCTTCCTACCTCACTTTGTAACATACATCTCACGACAGTTACTGCCCTAAATTTTCAGAGCCGCGATTCCTTCAACACGCTGGAGCTGTTTTACCCTTTACACCCTAAAATCAGTAAGTACATTCTCCATACTGTTCTCTATACATTTCCTAAGGTGCTGACAAGGAGAATTTGTTTACCAATCAAAAGCTTCTTATGCTGATGATCATTTCCCTTATTCTCATGACCTTAATGTGTGATTCAGGGGTGATATTGTGGGGAGAAATTTAATGCTAGTCACTCTTAGGGTTTAAAGGATTAATTATAGATTATTTACAATATTTGAATCATTTCTACTTACTGCTTTTTTGAGAACTTGTCGTGACTCCAAAATTAACAGACAGTTCCTCAAAAGCTAATTAAGGAAAGAACAAAAAAGAGGTAGTGCTCTTGACAAACACTGAGTGATTGTATGTGTTGGGCTAGGCAGACCTAGAAAATATTGGCATAGGGCTGTGTAAGAATTCCTTGTCTGTTCCTTCTGCTCAGTCAATGAATACATTACTTAATTATACTCTTGTTATTTTCTGATGTTTCATTATCCTTCTATCATTTTGACATAAGATCAAGCAGAATCAGAACATATAATAGAGAGTCTTGGTGGTAGACTACTGTTTGTCTTCAGTTGATTCATTTATAATAAATAAAGCAAATTCTTACCTGATGCTTGACTAAGAAGGTTCTCATTGTTAATAGAACCAAAGATGCAACTTTACTGAAAAAACAAACAGAAGACAATGAAAGATAATCATGCACACTGAATCATTCTGTCATCAGAGTGTGCATTGTTTGGGCATAACTTACATTAAGTGCATATTAACTTTTAATAAAAAGATTCTGACTAATTGATAACTTTTAATTAATCAAACAATAAAATTGAAAATTAACCACCTTTCTACCTCAGGTTGTTAAGGCAGTAGTTTAACCAATGAGGTGTAGCAGGGGGGGCATGGAGGGTTTGCACTTCTCCCCTTCCCTCCCCCCCTTCCCTTCTCCCACCTCTGCCAACTTTTAAGAAAGTAACCATTCCATACTCTGGTTTTTTGGTGTTGTGTTGACGGGTACATAAAGGAGGGCTGTGGCTTTATCACCATGGTAACCACCTGGTTGCCCAGATGAGTACTGCTATATTTTGTTTTTTGACAACACCTACCCTCTAATATTGTTTCAGAAGTGTTTTAACTACATTGAATCATGTATCCAGTAATAATTTTACCTTAAGAAACGAGGATGCACTTGTGGGTCTGCTTCTCTTCCTCTTTCTCTGATAATGTTAAATACACAAGCTCTGAATTGAAAAGAACATTCAAAATGTTATTTAATGGTCACATTTATACACTAGGGTCAAAACTTTGATTTGAAAACAATAATCAAATTTTTGGGGAAATTTTTTTTTTAATAAACAAAATTGTTTTATTTTGAATGATTGTTATAACTATACAAGAATCTTAGTGAATATTAACTTACGTAGCTGCCATTTGAATGTTAAGATCATCTGGATGTTTTTCCATTGGAGTAAGAACAAGCTGTGTAAATGAAATTTAAACAAATTAAATATATTTAACCCTTTAACTCCCAGAGGTGATTAATGTGTACCTTCTCCCTATAGTATTCATACACTACACAGCAAACAAGTAGTGAGAATACTCAAACTCATCAGGTACAGTTTATTACCTCGATTGAACACCAAATTCTCATAATCAATTTACAAGGAAATGTGCAGTAACTGGAAGGGAGAATCGACAAACAGATCTAGGGAGTTAAAGGGTTAAATCCCCAAGGCTTTCAAAGCATCATAGAAGTCAGAGTGTCCCCTTTGACATAGAAAAATATTAAGAAACAACATTCTCAAATGAATTTTTTTCACTTCTGCAGGGTTTTCATCAGAGATATAGCAATAGGAATGAAAACAAAATTCCTCAAGCCTTTCAACTGTAGTTGGTGAATTCTGGGCTGCATGTAGAGAATTATGCAATTTCTATGTTTAATGAAAAACCTGTTTGTGGTTATTAAGTCAGTGAGGCTAAATATCTATATTGCTATGATCATAAATCATGAACCTATAGTTTAAAATGAATATGGGTTTAGAACCCTTTTTTTAAATTTATAAGATGATCACTCTTAGAGCTGAAAGGAACCAAATAAACCTTAAGTTAATTAACTGAGCCATTTCATTGTGTACCTCTAGAACTTGTGGTTTTCTTGCTGTCCAATCATTACTGATTCGAAACAATCCACGCAGAGCTTCTCTCATGTAATCAGCTCTGTCTGGGTACATTTGTAATGAAGAAAGGATCTGTTTCTCTGTAGCTTCACCCATGATCTGATGAAAGATAAGCCACATTTAATTCAATTGTTGACTTTTATGATGCAAATAGTATAAGAAAAAGCTCATATAAAGAGCAGTTGATGGATGAAAAGATTTCAGAAAATTACGCTAAATATTATGCAGCCAAGTCACATATCCCTTATGTTAGCACAAAATCAATTTGTACTGCACATAATTATAAAGTGACCAACTCTGTTGCAACACTTTGGAAAGAACCTGATGATTGTTGTAGGTAATCTTGTGATAGACTGGGATCTATACTAGCTCCTATCCAAGGAGGGAGTATAGTAACCCTCTAAGTTGCTTCATGCTGAGTAAATGGGGGTGAACTGCAGCAAGATGGGCAACTCAGTTTGAGTATGGACTTCACATCAAGTCCCTTAACAATATGAAACTCTGAAGGCATTTTATGAAAATTGCCAAATATCTCCCGCAAGCTTTAAGGATTTCCACCATTCTGGTTCATAACAATGAAATATTTTCACTGTTACATATCATTAGTTTATTATATTATTATCATGATATTGCTACCTTAATAGAAGGAGAAATTCTTTCCAGATGTTCTTGTAATTTCAGTGATGTAAAACAAAGGCCAAGGAACTGGAGTTTAGGATGAGAAAAAAGAAATGAATGCAAAGCATCTGCTGTTACTGTGGAAACACCTGAAACATCCAAAGAGACCAGGTTTGGCATCATACATTGGTCTGTAAGCATTTCATCAATTGTCCCATCGTAGCGCAAATTACTATGAAAACTTCTTGAAATATCAAGCTTTTGTAATAATGCAAAGTCCTTAAACTCCGCAGGTTTTGTTCGTGCTATTGATGTGTTAAAAGCGATTAATGTCTTCAGTTGACCTCTTAGTTTCCCGAATGAAGAGACATGTCTTATCGCAGTGTTAGAGATATTAATGTGTTGTAAACAATCCAAATTCTGTGCAGCAACTGTCATCAAGTGGTCGTTTATAAGAGAGCAATGGCTCACATCCAAATGGGTCAAACAGTTTAGTGGCTTCATGGCAGCAAAGTCCAAGACAAATGATGTGCAGCTCAAATTTAACTCCCTCACTGTCGATGACATTCCATTCAGCAGTTGATAAAATAAAGACGGCGAGGGCAACGTTTTTGTTCCAGTTAAGTCTAGTTTCACAACTTTATGTTTTCCAAGGAGTAGTTTCAGCATTGAAAAACTCAGCTGACATTTCCTGAGGTAGAACTTTCTGATTCTACAACTCCTCGGATCAACAAATAGAGATGCTGTCCTATCTGTCAGTATTCCATCACATGAGAGACATCTCAAAATATTGTCTGCCAGTTGTTCGGGGAGAAATAACGGAGAAATAAAACTAAGTTTTTGAAAAGAAACCTCGTCGAACTGGACACCTTTAACATCTTTGTGGCATAAATCTTCAATGTTAGCACTGATAAAGCTCAGGCATAGTTCTTCAAGAGAAGCTGGTGAAACCGTGCTCATGTCAAGACGGTGTTTAACAATTCAAGGAACTCAGAAGAAAGTTGCACTTAATCTCTATTACACGTGCAGTAAAAGCAGTTTAAGTTCCTCCATTTCTTTGACGCTCCTTCCTTGCATCTTGATCTTCAATCACGCCGCTCCGTCGAGAGAAAAGATGTAAGTACACAGAAAATCGAAACAATAGTGTAACAACTTTGCCAAACCATTTTAGTCAAAAGTAATATATTCTACTCAAAACACTACTTTCGTTTTGTTTTTAACTTGGTAACCACTCAAGTCAATCTCCGAAGTAATCCGATCAAGTCCGAGTGTGTATCGACTTTAATTCGAATTTCCGAACCGTTAGCGGAAGGTTTCAAAACAGTTTTCTTTAACAGGCATCGAGTTTTTATCAAAACTTTAGTGTATCTTGCGTTTAGTCTTAGATCTGAAAAGATGTCTTCAAAGAAAGGAAAATGGAAGGATTCAGCTCAACAGGCAAGGCGGCTGTCACAGACTTCGTCTTCAAATTTAACAAGAAAAGGAAGCTTGATCGAAGAAGAAACTTCTGCAAAAGAACTTGAAGAATATTTAGAGACATTAAAAAAAAAATCTGGAATCAGATCTCTTTGGAGAGGAAACAGTTTCGATAAAGTGGTCCGCGATGATGAAGACAAAACTCCAGACATCTCGATCTCCAGTATGGAAGACGAGGAATTGGGTAAGTTCTTTCGAATCAAGCCGACTATTTTTCTGGTGACCTCAAGTTTATTAGCAGGACGACAGCTCGCCGGGTCACATCACGTCGTATCACAGTACTTAAAGTACTGCCTTTCAATGTCATAGATTATTTCTGAAGCATCTATATTCGAAGTCGTCGCTAATGCTTAAAATGATCAGGGAAACGAAACAAGGAATTTCAACAGTTTTGATTGCTACATTGCAACTTTTCTCTGTGTTGCTTGGCAACATGTAATGACGCCATGTTGCAGTGTATCTGTTCGTAATAGATCACAGATGACGTCAAAATGAGGTACACAAGGCAGAGCCAAGTGTATAACTGCAGCTGCGAGTGTGTTCAACTGCTGTTCTTACTACATTTTGAAGTTTTTGTTTTTCTGTTGAGTGAGAGAAAATAAATTTCTTTTGTCAGTTTTGTAGCATACATACAATACCAACTTATGTATTATAATCGTATTTGTAGATGAAAGACTTCCATCAGAAAAGGCAGATGATGATGACGATGATGATGATTTTAAAGTTAATGTTCAGATGTTCTCACCATCTCCGTCACCAACAAATCCAGACACATCTGATGGCTCCATAAACCCTATGAAAGGATTACAAATGGCAGAATTTGCCTTCAGTGATGATGGGCAATCAGAAAAAATGCAAGCAAATAACAAACTGGAAGACAAGATAAAAAGTTTAATTGTCTCTGACAAAGACATACGATCTGTTGTTAATGATCTTTCTGAACCAGCTGAAGTTTTGACTGAAGATGAAGTTGAAGAAGAAATAGAGGAAGATGTGGTTGATGTTGTCGATGGAAAAAATGACAAAATCACAGACAGGCAAGAAAGTTCTCCTCCTAGAACTTTGAGCGATGTTGAAAATCAAACGACAAGAAAAAGAGAAAAGACTAGGACAAAATCGCAAAATTCATATACAAGTGATTTTTCATCTTTAAGTGAGATAGAGACACACAATGAGCGTTCACATTCACAAACTCAAAATGACTCAAAGGGCTCAAGGTCATCAAGAAGGTCAAGGTCATTTCAAAGTTCAAGGTCATCAGAAAAATCAAGGTCATCACACAGTTCCAGGTCCTCGCAAAGTGCAAGGTCATCAAGGAGTTCAAGGTCAACAAAACACTCAAGGTCAAGTGACAATTCAAGGTCAAAACAAAGTATTTCAGAATACAGCAATAGCAAGGTAAAGAATGAAACAGACAAGTAATCATTGGTCACCAAAATGAAGCTGGAATGGCACTCTGATTTTCTTGTAACTTCAAAATTTTGTCAGGTTAACATTTTTATTTTTATAGTTGTTCTTATTGTGATTTCCTTGATTTTAGGGAAAGGACAGCCGCAACAGATACAGGTGTGATGTGGGAGTTCAAACATTACCTCCAACAGAACAGTTTACTGTGCCACCAGGTATATATAACACTAACTTTAAATTGCTGTGTCTTGGTTTGGGAATCTTGGAAAATTCAGTGTAAGTTCTCCATGTTGGCCATTTGTGATCAGTTTTAATTTTCTTCATCCAAAGCCATTCTTAATTCCTCTTAGTTTAGTATTCCTTCCTTTTTTTCATCTCTCATGAGTGTGAGTGGATTGATCGACAGCTACTGATCAATTGATGTTCTTGGTAACTAATTGGATGAAGTTAGCAACTGATAACTGACTGACTGAAGACTGTCTGAATGATTCATTAGTGACTGTCTGAATATTCAACTGATGACTGACTGAGTTGATGACTGACTGACAGACAAGCCAACTGAGCGACTATGGGGGTGAGAGGCTAGCTGATGGTCTGATTGACTAACTGACTAACTGGTTGACTGACTGATGACCATCCAAATGATTCACTAGTGACTGAATATTTTACTGATGACATGCTGAATTAGTGATTGACCAACTGACTGACTGACTGACTGACTGACTGACTGACTTTGTGGGTGAGTGACCAGCCCATGGTCTGATTGACTGACTGACTGGATGACTGGCTAAATTACTTACAGACGTACATGTAATAAATGACTTACTAACTGACTGACAGGCTGATCAACTGAGTGGCTGATGGAGTGAGTGACTCCCTAACTGTTGGACTGACAAACTGACTGCTTATTGGCTGAATAGCATTAATCAACTGCTCATTTTCATCAGCTCTTGGTGTTGGCATGGCAACAAGTGGCCCACGGCTTGGAATGCAATATGTGGACCCCACACCTATAGCAACTCATACAGTATCACCAGAAGCCATGGAAGGTATGAATCAGATCAGGTTGTTTTCACTGTTTTTTGTTTTAACAGAAAACAACCCAAAAAAATTGTTTAACCTTTAACCCCTGAGAGTGATTAGCATCTAATTTCTCCCATCAGCATCACTGCTGACACAAACATTCAGGTGATGAGAAGAAAGGAAATGATCACTAACTGAAGAAGCTCTTGATTGTTAAACAAATTCTCCTTATCAGTACATGGGAAATTTGTAGAGAACAGTATGGAGAATATGCATACTGATGTTAGGGTGTAAAGGGTTAAAAAAAAAAAAAGCCTAACAGTGAATTTAGGTTTACTTATTTAAGCTGAATCAGAACTAACCCTAACTGAACCTCTTTTAAATACTATGTCATGGTTTTTTCTCAAGAAACTATTTTAGTAACCTGGCAGAGGGTACAGGTGGGAGGTGATAGGGGAAGGTTGGGGGGTGTTAGTCTCATCAGTCTAGTGGCCACTGGCAGACTAATCAAGTGACTTACTGATTCACCAGTGAGCGACTATTGATTACCTCTCCAACCAATGGACTGATAGACTGACTAATTATCAGCCCCCACCCCCCACTTCTCACTGAGGGGGCCCCTCCCCCCCACCTCAGAGGCCTAACAAGCTTTTTTTCAGGAATGAGTATTTCACCCTCCTCCTTGAATGGAGTGGTCGTCTCTTTCTTGTAAGCCTCAACATTTTATCAAGTTTCTGCAACCGTTCAACAGTACCCATTTATACTCCTGGATGGAGGAAGGTGCTTTGAGAGACACTTGTCTTTACCTAAGAACGCAACAAAATGGCTCGATCAAATCCAAGCTCAGTTATCTGGATTCTGGACTCCACCTCCTGAATCCGCACGCCACCTTTTACCAATAAGTACATGTAATTGTAATAAGATATACCTATAGCATTTACTCTGTAAAATCATCCACAGTTGTGTTTCTCTCGTCTCTTTCAGCCATGACTGCTTATAACCCGGCCATTGTGGCGTTAAATAACATGCTGCGAGAGCAAATCCGTCTGGTGGAGCAGTTTGTGGAGATAAATCAGAGAATGTACGAGTCTTATTCTACAGGGGTCAATAGCAACTACCGATACACCACGCTCGAGGACACGCAACAGGTTAGATGGATACGCTAGCTCATCTATGCACTTTTGCGTGCATTACGACTTTAACACTCGCGCGCCCACGAAGGCAACTCGTTTTTCATTAAAATCACGGAAGGACTGCCCTGGAGATCACACAGAAGATGAGCCTAACTCAATCGCTCATGCATTCTTAAGAGTGTTACGGTGTGAACACTCGCGTATATCATGCCCCAAAGCACAAATCTCGCAACATGCTAAAAACACCCACCTACGTGCGCATCGCGCTACACGCTGAGGCAAATACATGCGCTACCTAAGATATATGTCACATATTCCAAATTTTTCTCTCCACAGTTTATAAGAAAGAACCGACCGAAAGTTGTGTCCTACGAAGAGGCATTGAAACAAGTAAAAGAAGAAGAGAGATATTGACAATACTCCTCTAAAAAACAAAACTAATGGCAATTTAATTACCTTTCCTACTTTCCTATTCGAGAGAGTCAGCCCTCATCCCCCTCCCCCAGGGAGGAAAGCCCGTGTTTCATTTTATTCCATCTTTCTTTTCTTTGCATCGTGATTGGTTCAGAAATACTCGTGCCAACACTGGCAACCAATCAGATTCAAAGTTAACACCAATTGCAACATGGTTACACGCGTTTCTTCGCGCTTGAGACATTTTGTCTGTTTTAACTTTGAGCTTTTATTGTCTCCTCTTAACATTTTCCTTTCGTTTGATCAGTCGTTGTGATCACTTTGGTTTTTATTTGCGACATTCAATCGAAAGATGCTCTCAATAATTCCTCGAAATATGTAGACTAGATTTTCAAGGTGCGTGAAACCCCAAGCATCTTCATCTCGACGATGCTTTCTTATGGTGCAAGGCACCCTGTGACACGACTGTACAGCAATAAAAAAAATTAATTTTCCATCCATTTGGTACATAATTTGCCAATTTTTGCTTGGAAGCAAGGGGTGAGGAAGGTTTTAAAGCGAAATCGCGTTATTATGAAGGAAAGCGTTTTAACATATTCCTTTCCGTGTCTTTTTGCCCACAATAATTTTACCATTAAGTCGGTGTTTAGAGATAAAGTTTTGAAATGAAAATAAAGCATGTTTCGGGAGCGGAAAGCTGCGACCACTCGCGCAATGGCTGTGAGCCTACCCGCTGAAATTTTTTTAAACTATAGACCCGTAAGATGCAGTACCATGCAACACCAAGGGCCTCGAGGTCGAGGCAATTC